GATGTTGGCCTCTTTTTCTCATCATGCATTCTGTAGTCTTATGACATCAGGAAGGGCTATCCTTAGTCTAGACTGGCAACTTGGCAGAAACTCTCCATAATTACAGACAGTTCTACTCCCAAGTTTATCCAGAATTGATCTTAGGAGTTTTTGCAAACAGCCCCTGTCCTCTTCTATTGGGCCAAATATTTCCTCCAAGATAGTTGCTATAGGTGAGACTTGACCTTGTGTAAATTCCTGCTCTGCCTCTGCTTTTCTAACGAATCTGTCCCTCATATGCTTCCATCCCTCCCCATCCAAAAGATGCTTTTTTCAACTGGACTTTTTTGTTTGAAGACGTTTTACTTCTCATCCAAGAAACTTCTTCAGCTCCGACTGGATGGTGGGGAATGGAAGGATTTATATTCCTCTACAGACAGCTGGTCATTTGCATTCTCTTAGAGCAGGAGTGTCAAATTGCCAGCCCATGGGCCGGACACGTCACGAGGGAACTGCGCCCACCCCATTTGCCGGCAATGGGGAAAAAGCTCCGATACGTCGTGCAACGTCAGTTGATGTCGTGAGTTTGACATGTCTGTTTTAGAGAATCATTGAGGCCACCTGGAGATTTTCTGTCTCCTCAGGGTCACCTGAGTAGTGCAAATGGGTGTGAAGCCATCTTGGAACTGCTGAAAGGATTGTTGTAGACTGGAGATAGATGATGTCGTATCCATTTGTACCACTCCGGTGAAGCAACGCGTCTTCAGAGAAAAACAAAAAAGTCCAGCTGCCTCGTGAAAAAAGCACCTTTGTGATAACTGTGACCTGGATGACTGAAAATCTCCATAGACAATCCCTCCCCATAATTCTCTCCTCTCCACAGGCTTCAGCTACTGTCACAATCCCCAAAGAACACCATCGCTTTGTGATTGGCAAGAATGGCGAGAAACTGCAAGAGCTTGAACTAAAGACGGCCACCAAGATCAACATCCCGCGGCCCGAGGACCTCAGCAGCCAGATCAAAATTATGGGCACCAAAGAAGGCATCGAGAAAGCACGTCATGAGATCTTGCTCATCTCAGCAGAGCAGGTGAGCAGCTGGGCACCTGTCCACCTCTCTAAAGGTGACAGGATGGAGATGTGAAGTTGGCGGGATAACTTTGAATGTCTTCTGCAATTGATATTTTGAACGTCTCCTGCAACATCTTGGTTCTAAAAAAAGGATGGGATGGAATGGGATGGGACGGGACGGGACGGGACAGAATAGACTAGACTAGACTAGACTAGACTAGAATAGAATAGAATAGAATAGAATAGACTAAACTAGAATAGAATAGAATAGAATAGAATAGAATAGAATAGAATAGAATAGAATAGAATAGAATAGAATAGAATAGAATAGAATAGAATAGAGTTGGAAGGGACCTTGGAGGTCTTCTAGTCCAACCCCCTGTTCAGGCAGAAAACACTATACCACTTCAGTCAGTCTCTTCTTCAAAACACAACTAGTAGTAACTGTGAGAGGGATCTTGGAGTCCTAGTGGACAACCACTTAAATGTGAGCCAGCGCTGTGCTGCAACTGCCAAAAAAGCCAACACATTTCTACACTGCATTAACAAAGGGATAGAATCAAGAACATATGGAGTGTTGATACCACTTTATAATGCCTTGGTAAGGCCACACTTGGCATACTGCATCCAGTTTTGGTCAACCACGATGTAAAAAAGATGCTGAGACTCTAGAAAGAGTGCAGAGAAGAGCAACAAAGATGATCAGGGACCTGGAGGCTAAAATACATAAAGAATGATTGCTACATATTCTGGGCTCCATTGTGGTTCATAAACCGAGGACTACCTGTATTTATAAAAAATAATAAAAGCGGGATACAAATGAATAACTTAAAGAGCTTTAGTTGTGTCACATAGAATAGAAGAAAGTGCGGTGGATGGTTCCATCTATCCGCTCCTGTCTAGTCAGGCTGAGGCTTCTCCATGGTTTTATTTTAGGACAAACGAGCAGTGGAACGCTTGAACCTGGAGAAGGTCTTCCACCCCTTCATCGCTGGGGCCTTCAACAAAACAGTCCAGGAGATCATGCATGAGACGGGAGCACGCATCAACATCCCCCCGCCCAGCGTCAGCAAGGATGAGATCATCATTACCGGGGAGAAAGAACCCGTCTCCCAGGCTCTCCTGCGCATCCGCAAGATCTATGAGGATAAGGTAGGTGCCTGAGGGATCCCTATTGGAGCATCTGGGGCCATATTTTTTTTACTTCACTCTGGCAGCCATTTTCTTTCCTGTCTCCTCAGTTCCCATCCCTTCTCAGAGCCAGAGTTGCTGAGACTTTGTGCTAGAGAGATTGGCAGAGCCAGAGGAAGGAGTCAAGTGAGGAATTAGTTTGGAATCTCTACATAGTCACAAGAGGCTAAAGCCCAACGTCCCTTGAATGCCGTTGAGCCTTACCTAGTTTTTCCCAGGTTCCAAGCCATTAGTCTGAGATGATTCCTATGTATAGTCTTGAGCAATAAAGCATAAATTGAACCCTTCACATGGGGATCTGACTGTTCGTGCCCGACACATTAGGAGCAAAACATTTTCACATGTTTGAACTTCATAAAATCCTGGAGTTAGAAGGGGCTAAATTAACATATAGGCAGTCCTCGATTTACAATAGTTTAGTGACCGTTCGAAGTTACAACGGCACTGAAAAAAAGTGACATATGACCATTTTTCTAACAACTGTTGCTCCATCCCCATGGTCAGGGGATCAAAATTCAGACGCTTGGCAACTGATTCATATTTAAGAGGATTGCAGTCTCATGGGATCACGGGATCCCCTTTTGTGACATTCTGACAAGCAAAGTCAATGGGGAAGTCAGATTCACTTCACAACCGTGTTACTAACGTAACAACTGCCGTGATTCACTTAACAACTGTGGCAAGAAAGGTCATGTTGTTGTTGTTAATTGCGAAGTCGTGTCCGACCCATCGCGACCCCATGGACAATGTTCCTCCAGGCCTTCCTGTCCTCTACCATCTTCTGGAGTCCATTTAAGTTCACACCTACTGTTTCAGTGACTCCATCCAGCCATCTCATTCTCTGTCGTCCCATTCTTCTATTGCCCTCAATCTTTCCCAGCATTAGGTCCTTCTCCAGTGAGTCCCTCCTTCTCATTAGGTGGCCAAAGTATTTGAGTTTCAACTTCAGGATCTGGCCTTCTAAAGAGCAGTCGGGGTTGATCTCTTCTAGGACTGACCAGTTTGAACGTTTTGCAGTCCAAGGGACTCGCAGGAGTCTTCTCCAGCACCATAGTTCAAAGGCCTCAATTCTTTGGCGCTCAGCCTTTCTTATGGTCCAACTTTCACAGCCATACATTGCAACTGGGAAAACCATGGCCTTGACTATACGCACTTTTGTTGGCAGGATGATGTCTCTGCTTTTTAGTATGCTGTCTAGATTTGCCATAGCCTTCCTCCCCAGGAGCAAGCGTCTTTTAATTTCATGGCTGCAGTCCCCATCTGAGGTGATCTTGGTGCCCAGGAAAATAAAATCTGTCACTACCTCCATTTCTTCCCCATCTATTTGCCAGGAATTGAGAGGGCTGGATGCCATGATTTTGGTTTTCTTAATGTTGAGTTTCAAGAAAGGTCATAAAAAAGGGGCAAAACTCACTTCACAAATGTCTCACTTAGCAACGGAAATTGTGGCCGTAAGTTGAGGACTATCTGTAGATGGAGACATGTGAAGGTACAGTCTGAGACATTGGTTCTCTGCTCAAAGTGCTCTAACATTAGGAGCTTTCTTCCAAAATTTAATCAGAATTTGCTTTCTGGTAATTCAGATCCTTTATTATTCCGCGTCTTGTATTGTGGGGTGACAAAGAACAGACCTTGAGTTTTTTCATATGACTTCCCTTTAGGTAGTTCTGTCATATCCTCTTTAAATTGTCTTTTTTCAGGTAAATATTTCCAGATGCTTTAATACAGGGGTGTCAAACCCGTGCAACGTCACGTGACGTGTCAGGACGTATCGTGACCTTTTTCCCAGTGCTGGCAATGGGGTGGGTGCGGTTTCGCTGTGATGCATCTGGCCCGTGGGCCGGCAGTTTGACACCTCTGCTTTAATATTTTCTACGGCCTTGCTATACATTGCCTAACCGCATCTGTGTTTCCGCTGAGCAGAGCTTTTGGACGTCTGAATAGAGAAATGGCTAATAATTCTAGGCCAGGAGTAGGCAACCTTGGCTCTTTTATGACTCGTGGACTTCAACTCCCAGAATTCCTAAGCCAGCATGGCTCAGCTTGGAAATCTCTCCCTTTCCCCTCAGCATGGCTGGCTCAGGAATTCTGGGAGTTGAAGTCCACGAGTCATAAAAGAGCCAAGGTTGCCTACCCTTGGACTAGGCCTAGGCCATTTTCTGACTTGTGGACTTCAACTCCCAGAATTCCTGAGCCAGCATGGCTCAGCTTGGAAACCTCTCCCTTTCCCCTCAGCATGGCTGGCTCAGGAATTCTGGGAGTTGAAGTCCACAAGTCATAAAAGAGCCAAGGTTGCCTACCCTTGGACTAGGCCTAGGCCATTTTCTGACTTGTGGACTTCAACTCCCAGAATTCCTGAGCCAGCATAGCTCAGCTTGGAAACCTCTCCCTTTCTCCTCAGCATGGCTGGCTCAGGAATTCTGGGAGTTGAAGTCCACGAGTCATAAAAGAGCCAAGGTTGCCTACCTACCCTTGGACTAGGCCTAGGCCATTTTTTGACTTGTGGACTTCAACTCCCAGAATTCCTGAGCCAGCATGGCTCAGCTTGGAAACCTCTCCCTTTCCCTCAGCATGGCTGGCTCAGGAATTCTGGGAGTTGAAGTCCACAAGTCATAAAAGAGCCAAGGTTGCCTACCCTTGGACTAGGCCTAGGCCATTTTCTGACTTGTGGACTTCAACTCCCAGAATTCCTGAGCCAGCATGGCTCAGCTTGGAAACCTCTCCCTTTCCCTCAGCATGGCTGGCTCAGGAATTCTGGGAGTTGAAGTCCACAAGTCATAAAAGAGCCAAGGTTGCCTACCCTTGGACTAGGCCTAGGCCATTTTCTGACTTGTGGACTTCAACTCCCAGAATTCCTGAGCCAGCATGGCTCAGCTTGGAAACCTCTCCCTTTCCCCTCAGCATGGCTGGCTCAGGAATTCTGGGAGTTGAAGTCCACGAGTCATAAAAGAGCCAAGGTTGCCTACCTACCCTTGGACTAGGCCTAGGCCATTTTTTGACTGGTGGACTTCAACTCCCAGAATTCCTGAGCCAGCATGGCTCAGCTTGGAAACCTCTCCCTTTCTCCTCAGCATGGCTGGCTCAGGAATTCTGGGAGTTGAAGTCCACGAGTCACAAAAGAGTCAAGGTGGCCTATCCCTGTCCTAGGGCAAATTGGGAAAGGAAGCAATTGTGTGAAGGGTATGTCCCAAAGGTGCTTTTTCAAGAGGAAACTGAATTTTCTTGTTTTTTCTTTGAAGACGTTTCGCTTCCCCACCATCCAGCTCTGACTGGATGGTGGGGAATGGAAGGATTTATATTCCTTGCAGGCAGCTGGTCGTTTGCCTTCTTTTAGAGAGTCGTTGAGGCCATTTGGGGGTTTACCTGTGTCCTCAAGGTCACCTGAATAGTGCAAATGGGTGTGGGGCCTTCTTGACTGGAGGATGTTTTTTGCCTTCACTGTTGAAGACAGGCGCACAGGCTGTTGGGGAGCAGTCTGTGTTGTCTGCCTCTCAGACTGAAGCGCAAATGGTTCCTACAGTCTGCTCTGCACCCATTTGATTATTGAGAGGCTGTGATTTAAGGTTGGCTTTGTATTTTTCCTGGCTTTGAAGCTGCCTCTGGCTGTCTTTCAGAAGCGCAAGACCACCACCATCTCTGTGGAGGTAAAGAAGTCCCAGCACAAGTACATCATCGGCCCGAAAGGAAACACCTTGCAGGAAATCCTAGATGCCACTGGAGTGTCGGTGGAGATGCCGCCCCTTGAAAGCAGCTCGGAGACCATCATTCTGCGTGGAGAGCCGGACAAACTGGGGCCAGCCCTAACTCAGGTCTATGCCAAGGTATCCATCTGCCACGGTCACATAAAGGCCTAGTCCAGGGGTAGGCAACCTTGGCTCTTTTATGACTCGTGGACTTCAACTCCCAGAATTCCTGAGCCAGCCATGCTGAGGGGAAAGGAAGGGGTTTCCAAGCTGAACCACGCTGGCTCAGGAATTCTGGGAATTGAAGTTCACGAGTCATAAAAGAGTCAAGGTGGCCTACCCCTGGACTGGTCAGCCAGGGATATTTCACATGGGACCAGCACCGTAGTATCACTGGCAGCCAGGGATCTTGACTGATGTGCCAAAGTCAGTAAAATAAATCCGGCTTTTCCCCTAGAATAGTGGTTCTCAACCTTTCTAATGCCGCGACCCCATAATACAGTTCCCCATGTTGTGGTGACCCCCAACCACTTATACATCACTGGGTGCCAGGGGCATGGCCAAACAAAAGGGGGAAAAAATGGCGGATAGCCTTGTTTGGCGACCCCCGTGAAATGGTTGTTCGACCCCAAATGGAGTCCCAACCCACAGGTTGAGAACCACTGCCCTAGAATTTGTGTAAGATAACTGAAAACAAAAAGACACATAAACTTTAAAGACCAGCTGGGTAAAAAAAGTTGGATCCGTGCAGCAGGTATTTTTTTCTCTCTGTGCGTATGTGTGTTTCCTCTCACTTTTCCTTTGGATGGATACCTGCTGTTTTGTTTAAATTAAACTAGTATTGTATCAGACTGGGTCCACTGTGTTTAGATTAAGGTTTTATATGAATTCGGCCATTGTAAATCACGAACAGGATGTGGTGTCCTAGTGAACTTAGTAAATTGTGGTGGTTTTTTTTTTTTTTTTCAGGAAACCACATTAAACAAACTGGGAAAAAGCAGAGATGGGCAATCTTTGATGGTCAAAAGTGGCATTTAAAAGGGGGGGGAGAACGTGGGGCCACTTTAAGAAAACATTGGGGCTTTGGAGAATTTCTACCCTCTTATTTTTAACAATGACATTCTTGGACTTTATATATTATATTATACAGTATATAATTTGTTTCCTATCTCAGAATGGGAGAAAAGTTGAGTTTTAGCAAAATGGGATAGGTTTGAGGGACACAAAACGGGGATTTAATGGGTATGTGAATCCTAGAAGCTGAAGATTAACCAACTCTGGCTTTGTGTAATTGGGCAACTTGCAAAGCTAATTAAGAAAAATAAACACGAGAATGTTGCAATGATGCCACAATGCCGCCTGGAGGCAGAACGCAGGTATTGCAGCATTAAAAACACTTGCTGGCATAAAAGATGGGCCAGCCTTAGTGTCTAACTCGAACGCAGACCTATCTGTAGCCAAGTTTTCACAGCCACTCTTGTGAATGAAGCTGGTAAACTCTTCTTGCCATCCTGTCCCTTTTACCTAGGCGAAGAGTGTGATGGTAGCTGAAGTAATGGCCCCAGCCTGGTTACATCGTTTTATAATTGGGAAGAAAGGACAGAATATTAGCAGGATTACCCAGCAACTCCCTAAGGCAAGTATTCCTAAAATAACATGGCTATAAATAAAATAGCGAGAGTAAAAACTCTGGTTTCATGCATGAAATATTGTTAAAAAAAGAGAAAAGCATGCCTCTCCCTTGAGGATACCGGAAAAGCAGGAACTAAATTTGAAGAGTCCCATTGGGCCCTTTGCCCCTCCCTTAATAGATCCTGGAGCACCTTAAATCTCAGTATATGGGTTTCAGGTCCACATTGTTCTAATATAGGTAGTCCTCAACTTGCAACCATTCATTTAGTGACCATTCAGCTTACAATCAGTTTTCACGTTTACAACCATCATACCATTAAGGACAGAAACAACTTAGAATAGTGGTGGCGAACTTATGGCACGGGTGCCAGAGGCGGCACTCAGAGCCCTCTCTGTGGGCACGCATGCCGTCGCCCCAGTCCTAGGCCTTCAGCTGGGTTTTATAAAACCTTTTCACTTTAGGCCTTCGCTGCCGTGTGCAAAACAAACCCAAAACGGTTCAATCGATCAGTCAATTGCAACTTCTTGCCGGGAAAAAAAAAATCTTGCAGAGTTGGAATTGATTGATTGAACTTTTTAGTCCCACCCAGTCTGCCATTACCACTACAGCCACACCCACCCAAAGGGACACGCTCACCCGGCACCCGACGATGCACAAGTGGCTTTTGGGTTACTTTTCAGGGCTCAGCAGAAGCACCAGGATCAGCACCTAGCTCCAGCTGAGCCCGGCGGTGATCCTGGCGCTTCCACTGAGCCCTGACAGCCCCGAAGAAGTGCCGATCAGCTGGAAGGCGGCACTGATCCTGGCGCTTCCGCTGAGCCCTGACAGCCCTGCAGCTCCAGCCGTCTCTCGCTCAGGCTTGTACGGTGCTGCCACCGGTTCAACTCATTCCCCTCCCCTGCTGCCACTTTTCTAGGATGGTCGCGTTCCACCTGCCAGGTGCCAATGTACCACAAATGGTACCCGTACCACTGGTTGAAAAGCCCTGGACTAGAAGACCTCCAAGGTCCCTCCTATTGTATTCTATTCTATCTTTGTGCTCATGGGATCAAAATTGGGGCCCGTGGCCACAGGTGTGCATTTACAAAAGTCGCAACATCCTGGGGGGGGGGTCATGCTACCACCATTTGTGACCTTCCCACTAGCAAAGTCTCACTAGCAAAGTCAATGGGAGAAGCCATATCCGCTTAACGACCACATGATTCGGAACAAGTGCAGTGGCTCACTTAATGACTTTGCCATAAAAAGTCATAAAACTGGGTGCCCTCGCTTCACAACTACCTTGTTTGGCAATGGAAGTTCTTGCCCCAGTTGTGCTCGTAAGTCGAGGACTACCTGCGGACTGAGTTTCCTGGAAGCATTTTAATGACGTCTTAAGGGTCTGGGTGCGAGACTGGCACCTCCCCCTGAGAACTAGGCTTATTGAGATTTTTGACGGCACGGCTCATCCGCTTTCAGGTCCACATTGAATTCACGGACGGCGATGAGAAGATCGCTCTGGAAGGACCCACCGAGGAGGTGGAATTGGCCCAAAGCCAGATTCAGGAAATCATTCGGGACCTGGTGAGTCCTCCTGTGAATCTTACGTGTACTTTCTCTCTCTTTTTTCGTCAGACCCATCCCTATAGCACAGTGGTTCTCAACCTTTTTAATGCCGCGACTACTCAATCGGTCGTAAGTCGAGGACTACTCAACTGGTGCAGCACCGTTTGCAGAGTGGGACTTTTGGCGGGCTCAGCAGGGCAGAGACAGCCTGGACAATTCCTATTGGCTTTTGAAAGCCAATAGAATTAGACTCTATTCAAGAGAGTCAAAGAGTCAAAGCCAATAGAATAAAAGGGAGTAGCACAGCTAAGGAAAAGGAGGGAAAAAATGGCGGGCTGCGTTGTTTGGCGATCCCCGTGAAATGGTCGTTCGACCCCAAATGGGGTCCCGACCCACAGGTTGAGAACCACTGCTATAGCAGGAAGAGCAAAAAGTGTTTAGATCCAGGTCAGCAATTTTATCTGTTTTCTCCTTGGCAGCGGCGTGAATTGTGGCCAGTGATATTATGGGTCTCACCCGTTGGAGAGATGATGCAGAACTCTTTGCAGAAGAGGGTGCTTAAAACACCCACGTTGTCCTTTTTCGGGTGTTACTTGGCCTCTTAAAACTTCCTCAAAATGTGATCCAGAAATTAGCGTCCTGCCTGTTCAAATGGGCAGCAGAGGTCCAATTAGAAAGCTGAAGTCCGGTGGGTTATCTACCTGCCTGCTGGAATTTGACACCAGCTTTTGCCATGTTGAGAGTGGGCTGATGGCTCAACGGTTAAAGACGTTGGGCTTGACAGCTAGAAAGGTGACAGCCCAAGTTTGAGACCTAGCGCCGTGCAATGAAGTGAGCTCCCGTTCCTTGCTCCAGCTCCTGCCCACTTATCCGTTTGAAATGTGAGTAGGTAAAAAGATACCACTTTGGTGGGAAGAGAACAACATTCCGTGCGCCTTTGGCCTATAGACATGCTGGCCACATGACCACAAAAAAGTGTCTTTGGACAACGCTAGCTCCCTCAGCTAAGAAACAGAGATGAACACTACCCCCTAGAGTCGGACAGGAGTGGACAGGGTAAACCTATTTTATTGCCATGTTGCCAAAAAAGGGCACTGGATTTTCCAGAAAACAAGGATCTCTTGGAAAATCTTAGCAAAACTGTATTGGGGGAGCCAATAGATTCCAATTCAGGCATCCATTCTGAACCTGTGAACATTGAACATCCACCGAGAAGCAGTTTTGGATTTTTTTTAAGACTCTCAGAAAGAGCTTTGCTGTTGCTTTGTTGTTGCTAGGATAAGCGAGGAGGTGAGGGACGTGAAAGAGTGTGCCAAGCCTATTCAGTTTCACATTAATGCAGGGGTCTCCAAACTTGGCAACTTTGAAGACTTGCGGACTTTTAACTCCCACAGCTGGCTGGGGAATTCTGGGAGTTGAAGTCCACAAGTCTTTAGTGCAGTGGTTCTCAACCTTTTTAATGCCACGACCCCCAACCGGTCGTAAGTCGAGGACTACCCAACCGGTCGTAAGTCGAGGACTTTCCCTACCCGGGAGCGCCACGCATGCGTGGTGCCGCCCCCTGCGCCGTCCGAGGCGTAGCTGGCAAGCGGCAGAGACGGCGCAGGGCGACCACCGGCTGGGCCACCAGCTGGCCCAGCCCAAGGGAGGTAAGGCACCCGCCGGGCCCCACGCGCGCCAGCAACCCTCCCTGCACCCGCCGGCCTCCCACCTCCCACCCCTGGCCCTCTTTTACGTACATTTTTACTACTTGCTCAGCAGGGAGGGGTGGAAACATCCAGACAGCTCGCCTTCGCTGCAGACAACTTGCAGCACCGTTTGCAGACTGGGACTTTTGGCGGGCTCAGCAGGGCAGAGACAGCCTGGACAATTCCTGTTGGCTTTTGAAAGCCACTAGAATTAGACTCTATTCAAGAGAGTCTATTCTATTGGCTTTCAAAAGCCAATAGAATAAAAGGGAGGAGCACAGCTAAGGAAAAGGGGGAAAAAATGGCGGACTGCGTTGTTTGGCGACCTCTGTGAAATGGTCCTTCGACCCCAAATGGGGTCCTGACCCACAGGTTGAGGACCGCTGCTTTAGTGCAATTGCTGGTGCCTGCTGTCTGAGGCTCCATTTTCGTGCTGCAACTCTTGTGTCTAACTATCCCATCCTCTCCTCCTGCAGCTTAGACGGATGGACTACACCGAAGTGCTTATTGACCAGAGATTTCATCGCCATCTGATTGGGAAAAACGGAGCTAACAGTGAGTCAGGCTGATCAGAAGTCTAGAGAGGAATAAAAGAATGCTGAAGGATTTAAGGTCGCTGGGGTGGATTTCATGTTCTTGCTGATCCCTGTAAGGTTGAAGCATTTGCGCACCTCTAAATAACCCCTAAATCTTTTCTGCTAACATTTCCCAGACTGTCTATAGAGATTCTCAGTTATTCAGGTCACGGTGGTCCCAGAAGTGCTTTTTCAAAAGCTTTGTTTTTCCTTGAGGATGTTATGCTTCTCAACCAACAAGCTTCTTCAGTTCAGTTCAGAACCAAAGAAGCTTCTTGGATGAGAAGCAAAACATCTTCAAGGAGAAAGAAAAGGCGTCCAGTCGCCTCTTGAAAAAAAAGCACCTTTGGAATTTCGCAGAGTGTCTAGAATAGAATAACAGAGAGTCGGAAGGGACCTTGGAGGTCATCCAGTCCAACCCCCTGCTTAGGCAGGAAACCCTATACCATTTCAGACAAATGGCTGTCCAATCTCTTCCTAAAAACTTCCAGTGTTGGAACATTCACCACTTCTGGAGGCAGGTTGTTCCACTGATTAATTGTTCTGACTGTCAGGAAATTTCTCCTTAGTTCCAGGTTGCTTCTCTCTTTGATTAGTTTCCATCCGTTGTTTCTTGTCCTGCCCTCAGGCACTTTGGAGAATAGCTTGACTCCCTCTTCTTTGGGGCAGCCCCTGAGATATTGGAAGACTGCTGTCATGTTACTCCTTGTCCTTCTCTTCATTAAACTAAACTAATCTAGTAGGTGACAGAAGCCAGCTCTCCCTCTTTCTGCCCCCTAAAGAGATTAACCAGCTAGGCCAGGGGGGAGGCAACCTTGGCTCTTTTATGACTGGTGGACTTCAACTCCCAGAATTCCTCAGCCAGCATGGCTCAGCTTGGAAACCTCTCCCTTTCCCCTCAGCATGGCTGGCTCAGGAATTCTGGGAGTTGAAGTCCACGAGTCATAAAAGAGCCAAGGTTGTCTACCCCTGGACTAGGCCTTTTCCACTTCCATACCGGGTGCTAATCTTTTTCAGTGGGGACAAGCCTTGGCTCAAGGCTGTGGATAGAGTTTTCTCTTTCCCCTTTATTTTCACAACAATCTGCAAAATAAGATAATCTCACCTCAGTCAGACCTGCACCGTAGGTTATCTTGACAGCCGGATTAGCTCAAGGGTCCTCAGGCTCCAAGGCAATTTTGAAGAGGGGGACGGGGGGGGGGTACTCAGATTTTTAAGAAAGATGTGATCAACTTCTCACAAACAAGGGTGAGATCTCTCGGCTTTGTTCCCTTTCTGATAGTTTTGAAGCTCCCTCTGATGCTTTACCTTAAAATGTAACTACAGGTGGTCCTCGACTTACAATCACTATTGAGTCTAAAGTTTCTGTTGTTAAGCGAGACATTTGTTAACTGAGTTTTGCCCCATTTTATGATGTTTTCTGGCCACAGTTCTTAAGTGAATCGCCGCAGTTGATAAGTTAGCAACTCGGTCGTTAAGCGAAATCTGGCTTCCCCCATTGACTTAGCTTGTCGGAAGGTTGCAAAAGGTGGATCACGTAACCCCGGGACACTGCGACCGTCATAAACCTGAACCAGTTTGCTAAGTGTTGTGAATTTTGATCACGTGACCATGGGAATTCTGCAAAAAAGTCGCCACTGAAAAACGATCACACGTCGCTTTTTTTTTCTTCAGTGCCGTCGTAACTTTGAACGGTCACTGAATGAACAGTTGTTAAGTCCAGGGACTTAACCTGTGTTCAGATTGAAAGCGGTATTTATTTCTTGCTCCGTTCTAATCATACAGAATTTGTTGGTTTCGTTCACGGGAGCACACAAATTCACTTTTTAGTTTTTTTTGGGGGGGGGGGGGCGAATCGCCGCAAAGTTAGAGAATTCCTAACTGATGGTCCCCCGAGGGAGCTTAGCGGCCAGCTAGGATTTGAAACTTGGGGTTCCTCCATTCTTTGGATGTTCACCATCCCACTTTGCTGGAGAGGGGGGAAGATGGCAGCCCTTCCCTCTGACGCTCTCTTTTCTGTACTTCTCCTCTCCCCCCCCCCTCGCTCCCCCAGTCAACCGGATCAAGGAACAACACAAAGTCTCAGTCCGCATTCCTCCTGACAGCGAGAAGAGCAACCTGATCCGGATCGAAGGAGACCCCCAAGGGGTACAGCTGGCTTGTAAGGAGCTCCTGGAAATGGCGGCCCGGATGGTGAGATGGTGCCTTTTTTTTTTTTTAAATATATTTTATTAGATTTTATATGGGTAGGGAAAAGGTGGGGTCGGGGCGGGTAGAGGGAAATCGGGAGAAAGGGGACAGGGTGTGGATAGCTACCGTAAATATGTGATTCAGCGAGCAAGCTGTCGTCCGGATCTTCATATTGAGTATTATTGTTTATATCAGCATTTCTCAACGTTTGTGTGACGGCGACCCCCGTTACACAAATGTACCACGCATGCGCGCTGCTGTGTGCATGCGCGGCGGCGCCCCCATGCGCGGCATGCATGCGCGGCAGCACCCCCATGTGCAGCGCGCATGCGCGGCGGTGCCCCCTGAGGGAAAAATGGCGGATCGCCTTGTTTGGCGACCCCCGTAAAATGGTCGATCGACCCCAAATGGGATCGCGACCCATAGGTTGAGAACCGCTGGTTTATATAATACTAGGCATTTATAAGAATAAACCGGTAGAGTTACAACTGACTTTATGGTAAAACAGTAATATTCCTTTAAATAATTAACGTAGTTAATTATTAATATTTTTTATTGCATATTGTTAATTTTGTTATTAATAACACTGTACTCTGCCCTGGGAAGCGAGGGGCAGGGGGTTGAGGGTGGGTGGGTGGGTGAGTGGGTGGGTAAATAGGTAGAATAGGATAATATAGATATGGTAATTTATGAGAAAGGTGCTGCTTGGGCACTTCCCCTATGCTGTATTCCTGTATTTGAGAGGGATGAGAGGGGAGGAAGGTCTAGGGAGGAAGTAGGATGGTAAGAGGAGAAGGGGAGGGGAAGAGAGTAGGAGGGGAGGAGAGAAAGAGGAGGGAAGTAGGGAAGGTATTAGAGAGGGTGGATGCAGCTTGGGGGGAATGAGCAAGCGGCACCTATGGTTATGGTTATGGTTATGAATTTATTTTATTTTGTAAAGTGAATTTTGTTGTATATGTTGAATAAATGGAAAATAAAATTTTTTTATTAAAAAATAATAATAATTAACATAGTTGATAGCATAGCGACTATTTCCAATCATCAAGCTTAATACTTATTATAATAGAGCTCTAAAATCTCTTCTTATTCTAACATGTTTCAACCCACTGATAAAATTTTCCCCAAGTTTTATAGAAGATTGAATCCTCTTTCTCCTTCAAGGAGAGATGGTGCCTTGATCTGCATCAAGCATCTCTCAGTGTATTTGCTAGAAGTCCTCAGGGGCGGGATCCAAAGAAATGGTTCCTTTGGGGCAGGGTGCGATGCTTTTCATGATCGACGGCTTCTCCTAGGAAAATGAACGCACCAAGGATCTGATAATTGAACAGCGCTTTCATCGGACCATCATTGGGCAAAAAGGCGAGAAAATCAAGGAGGTCCGGGACAAGTTTCCAGAAGTAAGGAATTCCCCAAAAGCACGTTCGGGGGCTTTTGCAAAAACTTTT